AGACAGTTACACAATAGCAATAACAGTAACATGTAATAACATAACATAAATAACATGTATCTCATAGGTGTTTACAGCGTTTGGGAGAGGAATGGATTGTCAGGAGCGATTGCTAATTACTGATAGCTGAGTCCGATTGAGCTTGGTTGTTGTCATCCCTCCCGAACTTTTGTTATAAACTCCATTTAGTGTTGGTGTTGATATTGGTATTGGTATTAGTGTTATTAGTATTAGTATTAGTATTAGTATTAGTATCAGTATCAGTATCAGTGTCAGTGTCAGTGTCAGTATTAGTGTTAGTATCAGTATCGGTATCAGTATAAGTATTAGTATTGTCAATGAAGGGTTAAATTGTGTAGCTGAGGGCTCTGCTGGAACAAAACTAATCAGGATTGGGAACAGGTGCATCAGAGAGTGGAGTCCATACCAAATTCAGTGACTAAATTTCCATTTCTCTAATCATGTATTCTCCTCTCCTGAGCTGTATTCCATTAGGGAATTCAGTTAATTCAGTAAAGGTGTTTTTTTTTCAAAGGTAAACGCTGACTAGAATTGTACAAAGCACCCCCACAGGCTCGAAGGTCTGATCTGGTCCTCGCTAGTACATCCCAAAGATCAGCCCAGACACCAGGATCAGCATCCCTGCAGAGAGCAGAAGCAACAGAGAGACGTTACCTTCTGAGTGTGAGAGCAGCTGTAGTTATTTCAGGACAAGACTAACCAGTTCCAGCAAAAAAAAAACACAGTCTACAGGTGAATAAACATGTGAGTTCACCTGCATTTGATCTTGCACGGAATCACATGTGCCGTGTGTTAATATACAATAACACATGAGGTTGTTCCACTGCACAGTCTAAATGTTCAGCTCCAGGCAGTACAGAGCACCTCGGCTCATTACTTGCTACATTCCTTAACATGATAAAGCCCCCCCAAGATACGGTACACCATCTTGTTTCTCAAAGGGGGTCCTGTCAGAACTCTTAAAGAATATTTCTACAAAAATAAACCAACAAAATACAACACAGGCATTACAACCAAGCAAAATAAATGAAATTATCTTTTAGCCCCTTTTTTATCACTTTATTGGTCATATACAATTTCTTGCATTAGGAACCAAAGTTCAACACTCTGTGCAAGCATCTATGAAATGTCTCCGGTATGGTTATAAGATAAGATCACTTTATTGGCCATACACAATTTCTATTATGAATTTGTCTTTTCACAGACCCCAGCTTGGGAGACAGGGAGAGAAGCTGGGGGTCAGAGCACAGGGTCAGCCATTTATACAGCACCCCTGGAGCAGCTGGGGTTAAGGACCTTCCTCAGGGGCCCAGCAGAGTAGGATTCCTCTACTGGCTGCAGGATTTGAACCAGCAACCTTCCAGCCACAGGCACAGATCCTCAGCCACAGTGCCACTGCTCCAGCTGTAGATGTGCTGCTCAGTGTTTGAATGTCTCTTGTTTACCTGAAACCAACATTCTGGATGATAAATGGAACCTACAGTGGGGGGATACACAGGAAATTGAGTGTGCTCTAATCTCGGCGCACAGGTCCACAAAATGCACCTTAAATACT